TAGCCTGGGCTACACAGTGAATTCAAGGACAGCTTGAACTATGTAGCAAGATTCTGCCTTCAAACAGAAAAAAAATGGGCAAGTGTGAATATACTATAAAAGAAAAATTCAGAGAGCTACAGGTGTACATCCCAAAAACCTTAACTTTGTATGCTTGGATGAGAGCGGGAGGGAAAGAGAGGTGAGAGAGAGAGAGAGAATGAATATATGGGGTGCTGACAAAAATGACTCAGATGTATCCTGACCCTAATCCCTCCTGCTTCTTGTCCTATTTTTGTGGATCATAATATTCCTTTATGATCCTTTATATTTCTAGAAGGTTGGTGGCGATGTCTTCTCTTTCGTTTGAAGGAAAAGAAACCTTAAAAAAATTTTTTTGAGACAGCATTTTACTATGTACTCCAGGCTTGACCTCAGTCTTAATCCTCCTGCTTCAGGCTTCTGAGTGCTGGGGTTACAACTATAGGCTATCCATGCCCAGCTCCCTCTTTCATTTTTGATTCTAATAAATTGAGTCTTTTTCTCTTGATCAGTCTAAAGTTTTGCTAATTTGTTTTTTTTTTTTTTGAGAGGCATCCGCACTTTTTTTTTGTTTTACATATTGTTATCTACAAGATAGTTTCTCAAGAAAACAGACAAATAATATTGAGTTACAGACAAAAGAGATATGAGATTATCAATAGTTGTTGTACTATACTTAGGTATCTTCAAAGTGGCTTCTAAAGAATATAAATAGAACTATGCATGAGTGACCTATTGAATAATCATTCAATAATTCTCAATAGTTGTTGTAGGAAACACATAATAATAAACATGGATCCATTTATGAAATAGGATAGGAATAATACAAATATTACAGAGTTATGGATAGATTTCTAGGAAAATAACAATGACTGCTGTAATACATGGTGGTATCTTCAAAGTGGTTTCTCAGGAAGACAGAGATACACAAGAAGGATCTAACAAGTAGTTACAGCCTAAGAGTTGTCAAAAATCCAGTGAGCCATCTGGGGCGAAAGCCATTTTTTGTAGCGTTTTCTCTCCAGCCTCCCATCGCATCGGGACCCCACAATCAGTTAGTGTCCTCTCCCCAACTGTCAGCACAGGCAGAAGGAATCCTGCTGTAGACTTCTCCAGAGCTCCACCACAGCCTGTACTGTCAGGGGAAGAATGGCTTCCAGGGAGTCTCTGCAGGTACTGTGCAAGGTCCTCCTGGTTTACAGCTTCCGAGCGGCTCTCATGACCCGAGTCCACAGGACCTCTGACTCCTTGGGCTTAGTCTGCATTCTCATGTTCTCCGAGTCCTTGTTTAGCAGTTGCTCCTCTGCTGACTCTGGACCTTTCTGTTTCTCAGTAGCAGGAGCAAGAGTAACCTGTTGTATGGCATGCATTCCCAGGGGTTTTTCCATTTGAATGTTTCACACACGTCCCAGGGTGGGCATCTGCAGGGCCAATTGTGTCATTGTTTCTCTGTGTCTTGATAGTTCTCAACTGAGCAGCGGCGGCCGGCCTAAGGGCTGGCGCGCAACAGCGCTCTCCGCCGCATGGCTCCGCGTGCACTGGGGACCCTCCCTCTGGGGGCCTACCAGGCAGAAAGCTAGCCAGCCGGAAGGCCGGTGCTCCCTGCCCGTGGCTCCCAGGGTGCTGGAGAAGTTTTGCTAATTTGTTGATCTTTTAATAAAACTAACTTTTAGTTTCATTAATTTTCTGTATTGTTTTTCTATTCTCTGTTTTATCAATTACTGTTCTCATCTTTTTAGTTTCTTTTTGCTGGTTTTGGGTTTAGTTTGATCCATTTTTCTAGTTTAAGGTAGGAATTAGGCTGACATGTTTGTAGGTTTGTTTATTTTTGGTGTGGTGCTGGAGATTGAACCCAGAGCCTTCACACCAGTCTATATCTTTAGCCCTTACTTTACTCATTTTTATGCAGGGTCTCTCTAAGTCGGTAAATGGCCCAGCATGGACTTGAATTTGTGATCCTCTCAACTCAGCTCCCCAGAGTGCTGGTATTACAGGTATGCACCACCATATAGGGGTCTGATTTTTTTCTTAATGTAGATGTTTACAGGTATAACTGTCCTGTGCATTGCTTTGGCTGTGCCTTGTGTCTTGGTTTCTTTTTTTGTTGTTGTTATTTTTGTTTTTGTTTTTCTTCCAGTACCAGGAATTGAACTCATGACCTTGTGCTTGCCAGGCAGGCACTTTGCTGCTGAGCTAAATCCCCAGCCCCTGTGCCTTCTGTCTTGGTGCATTGTGGATTTGGTTTCATTCATTGTGTTTTCTAATTTCCCTGGAGATTTCTTCTTTGCCTCACTGGTTCTTTAAGAGTATTTTCTTTAATTCTCACAGATTCATGAATTGCAAAACTTTGTTATTGACTTGTAATTCCATCCTATTGTGGTTGGAACACACACTGTGGATGTGTTAATCTTTTTAAATTAGAGACTTGTTTCATGGCCTGCCACATGGTTTATCACACGGAATGTGTACTCTGCTGCTGTGCAGTGTTCCATATTGTTCATCATATTTTTTCTTGTTGAGCTTTTGCCTTGTTGTATTATTCATTATTTAAAGTGGGATACTGAAGTTGCTATTCTTGTTTCATTGTGTATTTCTCCTTTCAACTCTGCTCATTCTTGCTCCAGATATTTTGCAAATTTTTTAGGTATTTATATGCTTGTCATCTTTTCTTATTTGATAGAGATATTTTATCATAAAATGTTCCTTTATTTCTAGTAAAAGTTTAAAAAAATTTAAAGACTATTTATCTGTTTCAAAGACTATCTTATATTAGTATAGCCACCCCAGTTTTTCAATGATTACTGTTTATATGATATATAAGAAATAATAAAGACTCCAGGGTTGGGGATGTAGCTTGCTTTGCATGCACAGAGCTGCAGGTTCAATTCTCAGCATAACCAAGGCAGAAAAAAAAAAAAAAAAAAAAAAAAAACAAGAACAAAAACAACAAAAGAGAGTCTATGATATAGGACCCAAAAATTTATACTATATATCTAAATTAGATTATGATACATGCTGGCACATCAAATCAGTGGAGATACTACATACTAAATGATGCCAGGGTGCTATTTGGAAACATTTAAATTATGATCCCCATCTTATACTTTGTCACCAAAATAAGTTGCAAGTCAATGAAGATATTGAATAATTTTAACTCAGAAGGAAAGCAAAAGTACATATGCATATAATTTGAGGGTAAAAATCCATTCTGATGAAAAAATTTAAAAAATGAAAGCCAGAAAAACTAGAAGTTTAGAACAACCCTAGGAAACTTTAAAACTGGGACATTAAAGTGATTGTGTGCAGTGGTGGGCACCTATAATTCTAGCACCAGGAAGCTGAGGAGATTGAGCCAGGAGTTCAAGATCATTTGGGGCAACATAGGTGAGACCTGCTATCTCAAAACAACAACCAACTACCAAGCCAGGTGCAGTGGCCCATGCCTGTAATCCCAGGTACTTGTGAGACCGGGGCAGGAGGATCACAATTTCAAAGCTAGCTGGGAAAATTAGTGAGACCCTGTCTCAAAATAAAAAGTAAGAAGGGCTAGGGATGTAGCTCAGTGGTACGGCACATCTGGGTTTGATCCTCTACTTCTGTCACGAGGAAGTGATCCCCACCTTGTTATACGGCAGATGTGCAGTTTGTGACTCTCTGTAACCAAAGGATGGATGAGGACAAAGGAGGTTTAGAGTATAAAAGTTTATCAAGAGAAAGCTCCTGAGAGACAGGAGGGTCCTGAAAGTGGGTTGCCACTGAGGCTTTTGGGGAGGGGTTATATGCAAAAAAGACCACATCTCAGCCATGTTGGCCTAAGCTGAGGTCAACCTATGGGGTTACAAGTATGGTAGCTTAGCTAATATTGATCGGATAGGAAAGGAGGCACACAGCGAGTGTATGTGGTGGGCACCGCTAACTTATCTATAACTCTGAACATAGGAGGATCAAAGGCACTTAAAGAAGGGACAGGAGTCTGGGTCAGGGTGTCCTGGTCACCCACGTTTTCCTCCAACAGCTTATCTAGGTTCACTGGAGCAGGTGGTGCTGATCACCGTACAATGTCAAGCTGTTGTCTATCTCAGGGAGGCCTGCAGGCCTAGCTGTCGTCCAGTTCATCTCCAGCCACAGTTTTGAAGTATCACATCTTCTGTACTGACTCCTCTGAGAGCTCGGCCCCTCTCTGACTGCCTGTTAATTCTTATCTAACTTAGCTGTCTATAATACTACTGCCACCACCACAAGAATCTAAACGATGGTGCACATGGAAAACAGAGGCCGAGGGCTGGGGATTTAGCTGAGCGGCACAGTGCCTGCCTGGCAAGCACAAGGTCATGAGTTTGATTCCTGGTACCGGAAAAAAAACAAAAACAAAAACAAACAAACAAAAAAGAAAACAGAGGCCAAGATGTAGCTCAGAGATAGGGTGCATGGGTTCCATCCCCATGGCCACCATCAAAAGCCAAACCAAAATAAACAAACAAACATCAGAGAGGGGCTGGGGATTCAGCTCAGCGGCAAAAGTGCCTGCCTGGCAAGCGCAAGGTCGTGAGTTCGGTTCCCGGTACCGGAGGAAAAAAACAAAAAAAAAAAAACAAAAAAAACAAAAACATCAGAGAAACTGGGAAAAATATTTATCACATCTGACAGACAATATAAAAAGCTAGGACAGTTAATCCATAGCAGAATACAAATGGTCTTACGAAAAGACATCAGCCCAGCCTCTGTCCTCTGTCTCCCAAGCCTTTTTCTGTCAACTAACCAGCCAGTGAATTCTCTGCTCTGAGCCCCTCAGACAGCCCTAACCTCAGCTTTCTTTGTTTTTCAAGTTTCAGAGATTTATTAATCTGTGTAATAAACTCCCACAAACCAACACGATTTCATGCATGTAGAGGAGAACTACCTCCTGGTTAAGTGGAAAATTGTGCAGATGGCTTCTGAAAGATCTTCATTTTAAGCAGCTTTATAGTGAAACATTTCACTTAGAAGTCTGGACCTCCTCTCCTCAGTTTGCTGTCATCCACATTCAGCGAGTAGAACTTGTATTGCTCAGTGGGACCCAGTTTGTTCCAGGGTTCTGGGTTACTGTTCTGGTCCCAGCTGACACCCAGATTGAGCAATGCCAGACGTGTCAAACACAGTGCTGCTCCCGTACCTCCTGCTCCAATAAACAGGAAAAGGGAGATCAACAAAAAAACAACCTAAGTGACCTATCCAAAGAACAAACCAGCCACAGAAAAGGATGTAGCTCAGATGGAAGGCCGTAGGCTTAATCTCCAGTACCACCGAAAAGCTGGGGTGCTTCCTGGCCTGGGAGACGATCTGGCGGAGCATGTTTGCAGTGACACCCAAGCCCACACAAGGAGAGCAAACCCGCTGGGACAAGACCAAGCTGTCCCCAACCTCAGCTTTCTATTCTTTGAAAACCCTACAATGATGGCCTTGCATCAGTTTTTACTAGAGCCAGTCATTTGCCACACCTGAGCAGGGACCCTAACCACATTGTCCTTAGGCTGTTTCCTAGGTTTACATATCAAAAATTGTTTTGCTACAAATATGGGTAAGCAGGTAACCCTGTGTAATGTGATGACTCTGATTCTTTCAGGAACATTCCTAGAAGGGCATAGCTGGGGCCAATGGAATTTCTATTTTTAGTTTTTTGAGGACTCTGCACACTGGTTTCCATAGTAGTTGTACTAGTTCATATTCCCACCAACAATGTAGAAAGTCCATTTCCCCCCACAGCCTTTCCAGCCCTTTTATTTCTTGATGTTGTCATTCTTTCTGAAATAAGATGGTATCTCAATATTGTTTGAATTCACATTTCCCTAATGGCCAGCAAGGTTGAGCATTTTTTCATGTATTTATTGACCATTTATACTGCTTGCAACATGTGTCTATTCATATCAGTTGCCCATTTTTTGATTGGGTCTTTTATTTGGGGGGGGGTCTAATTTTTTTGAGTTCCTTTTTTTTTTTTTTGGTTTTTCTCCGGTATTTTGAGTTCCTTATATATTCTAGATGTTCTGTTTGAGGAATAGCTGACAAAGAACATTTTCCCATTCTGTAGGTTGTCTCTTCGCTCTATTGGTTGTTTGCTTTGCTGTGTAGAAGCTTTTTGATTTGATATGATCCCATTTGTTGATTCTCAGTATTGTTTTTTGCATCACTAGGGTTGTTCAGAAAGTCCTTGCCTGCACTTATGTTTTCAAGTTTTATGTTTTATGTTCCAGCAGATTGCTTCTGTTTTAACATTTGGATCCTTGACTGATTTTGACTTTAATGCATGGTGAGATATATGAGTCTAGACTCACTCCTCCGTATGTGGATAACCCATCTTCCCAGCACTATTTGTTAAAGAGGCTCTTTTCTCCAGTGTATGTTTTGGCCCCATTGTCAAAGATCAAATAGTTGATGGGGTTGTATCTGCAGCTTCTAATTTGTTCCATTGATTCATATGCCTGTTTTCGTGCCAGTACCATGCTGTTTTAATCACAGTAGCTTTATACTATGACTTCTAATCTGGGATTGTGATGTCTCCTGCTTTGCTTTTTTGTTACCCAGACTGCATTTTTTTTTCTTTTAAAAGACCGCAGTGTTTTTATTCTGTTTTTGAGATTTGATTCTATTCTTTGTTGGGGAGGGACATATAGGAGACTGAACTCAGGGACTTTGCACTGAGCTACACCCCCAGCCCCTTTTTATTAAAGTTCTAATTTTGCCGAGGCTGGGCTCAAACTTGCGTTCCTCCTGCTTTAGCTGCCCACCACACCTGGCTTCATGCCAAAATTCCTGACCAAACTTTAAGTAGTTTATTATGGAAAATTGTCACGTAACTTAAAGGGTGGAGGAGGTATGTAAATTGACTGCTAGAAAATTAAATAAAAATCCTGAATGTGAAAAAAAATCAAAGGCTATTACTAAACATCAAAGAAATTTGATCCAAGAGTCTATTTTTATCCTACTGACAAAGATTTAAAAAATTACATTGCCTGACATTGGTCATGAGACACAGGGAAATACGTACTTTCATGCTCTGCTCTTGTATAAAGTAGTAGTGTTACTGTTCTTAAAATTTGAACACAACCATTTTTTGCCTAGGTATTTAACAGAACCACAAAAGTGTAAGATTTAATTAGGAACACATTTTTTAAAATAACCCATAACTGAAAAAAACTAAATATCCAATAACTGGCTATTAAATTATATACTAGTACTGGAATACGAGTAAGTCCTTAAATTTTTTAGTGACAGAAAGATAATCATAATATAGTCAGTGAAAAGTAGGTTACAAATGGTACGTACAATTCAACTCCACTCTGTTAAAATAACAATGTAATATGCAAAAAGAATCTGAGGATTGACAAAGATCTCTGAATGTTAGTATTACAGGAATTTTTATTTTGTGCTTCTTCCTCTTCTTTGGATTTTCTATAATACGCATGTCTCTTTTTTTAAACTATTGTCATGTACAGAAGAAACAGTAAGTTAATTTTTAAAAAGAAAAGTATTTTGCCTACTTGGCCAAGATTATTTAAAAAAAAAACACATATTGTTTAAGGACTTGGGATAAATGCCAAGCTCAAAGTATGCTGCTGGTGGGAGTGATAATTGCTAAGTGCTTTCATTTCTAGGAATTAAGCAAATTATTAGGGATGGATGCAAAAAAATGCATGTAGAAACCCAAATGTTCACTTTTTGAGTACATGAATACATTTCATTCGTATGAGCCACTAATATTTTAGGTTAAAACATTAAGAATAGTAAACTAAATATAAATATTACATATAATCCTGATTTAGTATGAAAATGTATTGATTTCCTAGGGCTGCCATAACCAATTACCACATTCTAGATGTCTCTATAAAGAACAGAAATTCATCTCTCACAGCTCAGGCCAGAGGCAAAACATTAAGGCGTCGGTAGGGCTGGAGCCCTGTGGAGGCGCTGAGGGGCACCTGCGTCTCGCCTCTTAGCTGGCTTCCGGGGGCTGCTGCCAGTCCTTAGCGTCCCTTACCTCATAGTAGGTGTACTCCTCCCGTGTGTCTCCTGATGTGGCCTTCTCCCCTGCGACTCTGTACCCTGTCTTTCTCTCATAACGACACATCACTTGATTTAGGGAAAATCTAATCTAGTGTGACCACAGTTAATTTCATATGCCAAAGCACTGTTTCCAAAATAGTGTCACATTCTCTGGTTCCTGCTTGAAATGAGTGCTTGGAGGACACCACTGAAGACACTGCAAGTACATAACAGGATGTAAGTGATGGGAGATTTTATATATATATATACCAAGAGTATTTATTTCTGGGTGGGTTTGTAGGTGGTTTATTTTTGTACGTTTCTACATTTTAAAATAAAGTTTATATATTGGGGTTACATTAATATTGAGGCTAAATTCTAAATTTATGGTATAAAATGAGTATTATGTGCAGTAAAAAGTCACTTGTTTCACATAGCTCACAAAATAGCAAACCTATCATTTATACATAACGTATGCTTTCTCAAACACATCCAGTATACCTAACTTGTTTTCTAGCCCTAGATTACTGTTCCTCTGGGCAAGTAGGTGAAATAATTGGCTATATTTATATGCTATATTGTACAAGAAAGAAAAAGGTTTCTAAGCAGTTAAATGTGTTCAAATGAGTGGATAACAAGGCTCTAATGTCCTATTTTTAAAATTTAGGATCAACTATTTTTAAAAAAACGTTTTACAAAAAACACTTCCAATAAGGCATTGAGTTAGGAAAAATTCTAAAGATCAAGGGAAGAAATAATTATTGGTTTCAAAAATTAACTCCTTTAAGTGATTAGGTATATCTCTGAGTCATTTTGGAATTGCTATAGCTCTAGAGAGAAGAAAACTTAAGAATAAGCAATATTCAGCATGGGGGAGAGACTAGGCAAATTGGCGTTTAATAATTACAGTTCCAAAAAGCAGCTTTTTCTTGTCTTGCAAATATCAGTATCACTGGGCTGACAGTGAATTTATAGTAAATGAAAATGAAAAACTGACATTTAAGATGTTGCTATGGATATAATTACAGTGAGCCCTCAATTTATTTATTTTTGGTCTTTTTTTTTGAGACAGGACCTTGCTATGCAGTTCAGGTTGGCCTTGAGCTCACTTTGTAGCCCAGGCTGGTCTCGAACTCGCAATGATCCTCCTGCCTCAGCCTCCGGAGTGCTGGGATTATAGGTGTGCGCCACTGCGCTGGGCAAGCCCCCAGCTTATGAATATTCAAGTTCATAGCTTTCGCAGATATGAAGGGATCCTGAATTACGAACATTCATAGATGTGAACAAATCATGAAACAGTTGTGCTGTTGTGTGCCTACTATGCTTAAAGGTAAAAATATTTTATTTACAGTAGTTCTGTGTTTTTTTTTTAATGCTTTATATTGAGTACTTGTGTCAAAGTAGTATAAGACTCAATTTGTTGGACTTATGAATGTTCTCCCGGAATGGAACTCGGTAAGTTAGGGACTTACTGTATAACAAATTTCTCTCTTTAAAAATTTTTAATTCTTCTAAAGTACATTTTCCTTTTAGAGATTTATGACTAATTTCTTTTATAATTGGAGTAAGATAAAATACAGGTTAAAATTCAATTTAAAAAGTATTGTCATGTACAGAGGCTGACATCATGGGTAATCAAAGAATATGTTTAATAAAAAATAATTAAACTTCCATTTGCTCTATAGAACATCATAGAAAGTAATTTAATAAATTACAAATGACTTTTAAAGACGTTTGCTCAACTACAGAAAGCAAATTCAGACTACACAAAACACAACTGGTAAATATTGCAAATGTCCAAAAGAAAAATTGGACTAAGACTTGAATCATGAAACCTGAAACGAGGGCTATAAATACAAGGCAATAACAGCTATAATTCTTTTAGTAACTACCAACACATACTTGGATATCCTTTCAACTGCAACTTTAGTATTTTGTAATTCTACTGATTTTTTTTCTTTATGACCCTTAACTTTACACAATTATGTGCATGTTTTCTTCCTAGCTGATAGCTGGACAACTTTTCCCCAGTCAATACTATATAGAAATATCTTGAAACCCAAGAGAATGTTTAAAGTTAACATTTGCCTTAATGCTTTGAAAACTGTAACTGCCTTATTACATAGAATCACTAGGATGTTAACCAAATTCACTTGACCATAATTAGGAAAATACTTTATTTCATAGATTTCATATAAATTAGACTTTAGTGACGAGATCTAGGGATTTTTTTCTTTTCTTTTTAATTGGGGAAAGAAAGGAATAAAGATCACGTGGGTAGAACTAGAGGAAGGAAGGGAAATATGGATGGT